TAAACACATTTGCTGAATAATCTGAATAGATTTCTGTCATTTAATGAAACCACACTGGTGTAAAACAACACTGCTACTTTTTTCTGTGAGATGGAGAAAAAACAAGATGTAGTGAGGGCAGGATTATGGTGCAGAGTTCTGCAAAATAATTCTCTCTTTGATGGATCCTGCAATACCTTCCACAGCTGATGCCCTTGTTCCATATGGCACAGCGAGAAATCTGCTCTGTACTGTACATGATGGATGCACAAGGTCTCTACATCGAGAGGCTTCAGGAATGTGATATAAAGTCATGTAATGTAACACTGTGGCTTCACATTTGTTATGTAACATGCTTTTAAAATCTAAAGTCAGTTAGACCTTTGCTCAGTCTTATACAATCCAATGAAAATATGAGGAGATCTCAAAGTGCATGGGGGTCAGCCTGAAAACACCCCTCTATTATTGCTATTACTTTGTCCTTCTCTTCCTCCCTGCACCTCTCTGTTCTTGGCAGCCCGTGACCTCAGAAAAAAAACTCATCCATCTTGAGAGTTTGATCCCGTCCCGCTGTGCCCGGCCCGTCATTACATGCCTGGAGGGGCTGAATGTCCTGGACTGTGGGACCATGAGACTCCTCTAAGCCCAGAGCCATCTGGCTACGCTACATTTCCCAAAAGCATACAGTCTGAGTTGCACTTTGCCTTTCCCTCTGGTGCCTCCTACTCACCATGTTTGTCATTTCAGCCTCTCTCTCACACTGGCATATACTGTAATACTATAAACTTGACAGCTCTGTACCTTAAGTTCTGCATATGTCTCCTGTCCTGTTCTCCCTCTTTGCTTAAGTGCCTCAACTTATGCCTGCAAGGCTCCGAAACATCAAGACCATCTGGCTGTCAAATCCCCAAAATGCTAAGATATTTTTTCCTCTGTTTGTGCTGCCTGCTGTCATCGCAGCCTCTCCTCTCCTCCTGGGTATCTGTCTCCTGTCTTCATCACTTTTTGATCATAGAGCGGGGGTCAAAGGTCAATCTCAGAAGCCGTTCCCACTAGAAATGAGCTGTAACATGTTTTTATTAGTTTTGATGACAAGATAAGAGATCAATTTTTCTCAAGTTCTCCAGCTGAGGAGCTTTTAGAGTGACTCTGCTGCTTACCTGGGCCCATTATTATAAGACCATCTGCCTGCTTCCCAAAAATAAAACGAGTTTGATCTCTCTGTCTGTCCCCCTCCCCTGCTCATTTCTGCTTTTATTAGCGGTGATTCTGCTTTCATTAAAGGAGGGAAATAGATGGCCATATGTCTGCTATGATAACAAAACATGGCAGGGAGGCCCTTACTCCCTGTAAACTGAGCTGAATTGATGTTTTCCAAACATACACATCTGGGTGCTGTTAATTATAGTGCACAAGGTTATCCAACTATTGGGATAAATTGTTTTTGGAAAGAAGTCATTAGCTACAGCTGGAGCTGCTTATGGCAGTTTGGAAGGAAATCGTGTTTAATATTTTAAAGCTGTATTACATCAACTTGTTCGCGATGGTCGAGGATTAAGGTCTTAAAAGCTGTTGAACAATTTATCTGTGATTTATAGGTGTCTATGACTTTACATCTAGTGGACAGGTTGTTAGAGCTGCTATTGAGATTACTGGGTTTCAAATTCTTTCAAGTATTTATCTGTCACTTACAACTGCTTTATTAGGTGTTTCATTCTCAAAAATTACATTAATCTGCTTGAACTATTGTTATAGCCTGATTGGTTCATGGAAATGTGTGACATCCCCTTATTCCGGCAGAGCCCTCCCCACGTCAAACCAGTCAGCAAACCAAGACAAATACACCAATACACACATCACTTATGTAAACTTTTTAAACTTTGGCAACAAACAACAAACAAACAAACAAAATAAAAGCACCCGTCTGAAGGACTCCATTTATAGTACGAGACTAATTAAAATAATGCATTTTTTGGGGCCTTTCCGGTCTAAACTTTGCCAAGAAAAATAAAGTGGACCTGCAGTAAAAAGTTTGAAAGAGTTTGGCACTCCTGTTGTCCACATTTTTTTTCTTTAAAAGCAAGGTCGTAATTTCCACTTGAGATGGAGGGGCACTTTTCAGTTTGATTAATTCTTTAAAAGACCACTAAACTGAATCATCGCACTGTCCAAATGCCAAAATCCAGATGGGAGATGCTCTAAGTTAATCGAAATGTTAAAATACTCAGTGGCCTTGAGTTATTACCATGCACTCCCAGTATTTAACCTTCACAAGCAATGTCAATTGATTTGCAAACTTTTTTACCCCAAGTTTTGCCTCTCAGGCAACACATAAGCTGTCCTACCTTCTTGGTGTCATTGATGTATAAAGAGAACTGGATACATGAACAATGTTGGGCTTTGAAGCAAAGTTGACATACGAGCCACACCATGTATTTACATCATCTGGGTCCATTATATGATGCCACTGGGCTCCAAGAGGCTGTACATATGCCGTGTTTCTTGCGCCCTCAGATTCATTGTTTTCAAGTAGAAAACAATGAGATGAACTGAGTTCAACTTTTGGAATGTAGCAGACCAATCACAGCCGACAGACATCTTTCCCTTCTTCCGTTAATGTCAGTCTGTGTGAAATACAGACAAGTTGATCGTGTTAGTGCAGGGCTGCCAGAGCTCTTAATCTGTTTCACGGATAATAGGTATACACACATATAAACAGCGCCTGGAGGAAGAGCAACACATTCTCACTCTGGCCTCGTCACATATTGATGTTTTGGTCATGGACTTTCCATGTCCACATACGACATGCAAGGTACCCTGGGTGCATTGGCTGTTGATGTTCTGGGATGTTTACATACAGTCTCTTTCAAAATATACACACTGCATCAGTGCAACAAACACACATGGTTAGGTTTAGGCAACAAACACATGTGATTACGTTTAGGAAAAAAGGAAAAGGGTTTGGCTTTAGAATTTTACAGGATGAGAACACTGCTCTCTTGGTAAAAGTCGGTGTTTGTTGGACCTATCCACCACAACTCCCACCCGCCCCACTCGCACTAAAGGACACCTTAACCCCCTGATGCTGCCAGGCCCCATTAAACTATAATGGCAACCAGCCGCGTATCATGCCGAAGTTAAAGGATACCTTTTTCGTTAGTTTCTGATGCCGCAAATCACTGCCCAAGTGCTGGATTTCGACGACTTTGGAGTGAGACTGGGCTTGGAAGATCAGCTCTGCACTCAGGATTTAAGATAAATAGGTTATATAGTGCTTGTTAAGGTTGCTTAGCAACCTAGCTGGCACAAAAAAGGCACAAGAGTAGCGTTAAGTTAAAGACGCAGCATGTGTTCTGCCCCCAAATTACTTCTTTTTTCATAGACTTACATTGTGAGATAGATGATTGTAAATCAGTTGATTTTTTTTTTAGGGTATATCAATTTCTGCTCATGAAAACTAAAATAGATCTTGTTTTAAATTGTTATGTCCCAAAAGCTGTAAAAACTCAATAATGTCCAGAGTTTTTCTGGGCTGTCATTAATGTGAGCAAGCTCAAAACCAATCACTTGGGAGGCGGGACCAAAGAAAACACAAGTGCACTTGTTCTATGGGCCCATAGCTGCGGATGATCCGGTTAATTTTATACTCAGAACTGCATCCAGTTTATTATACTGTGCATACACGGCTGGTGGTAAATGTTGAGGATGTATGCAACTTTTGAGGATGACCGCAGACACCACACAGGGCTGAAAAAAGTAAACTCCACTCTTATTTTTTCGGTTAAAAATTGCTGTTTTTTCAGATTTTTTTTTTTAAGAGATGCTTGAACTAACAACTTCAAAGATATTGACTAAAATTGGTTGTTACGAACTGAAGCTGAAACACTTAATGGGGGTGAGAAGTGCACATTACTGCCCTTCACAGCATGACGACACACTGTCATTAATAAATGGAGCAGGACGGGGCCATGCGGCGCATCACAGACCTGAAGTGCAGGTGGACCATTTTAGCCCACCTCATCAATCATTAAAACAAGCCACTGTATAGACAGTCACGCCGGATGATCAGCTGATGGATGGGTGGACGGAGAGACAGGAGGGCAGACCATGGCAGGCAGTCAGACAGGTCCATTATGAACAAGAGTTACTATGAAATATATTGAATACATCATGGGAAAAGTCGTGTGTCTTTGTCGGGTGAACAGAAGAGTGATAACATCAGGCAGAATGTATGATGCAAGTACGACATATCAGGCTGACTTGTAGCCAACTTATCATTAATGGATGTATAAGACAGGCTCAGAGATACGGTGAAGGCATCAACAGGTGCAGCACACGGTCTGTCCTTGTTCAACTCATCAATAAACCATTGAGAGCTTCCCATTATCTACTGTATCCATTTTAATATTTTACCATCCATACTGCAGTGCTCCTTTGCACTGCTGACTGTCAGTGCTTTTACCTTGTGATGGCGTATGCATCTGTGTGTGGTGATGCATTAACCAGAGGGGATTAAAGCCTTGAAGCATTGCACATCTTAATTAACCCCCACTCATCAACTTTCTCTCTCATGTGTCCAGCAGCAGGCACAGTCCCACTCAGCCTCGGTCTCTTGTCATGATTTATTTGTGGCACAGGTACACTCTCAGTCCTTTCAAATAGGGGGAACTCAAGGTTTTCCCAGCACTGAAGGATCACACACTCTCTGTCGCAGCTCTGTGTGATTGCTGCAGTGGGATTTGCTGTATATAAAGGATTTATATAAAGCGTATTTTTATCCTTATATTACCCCGGTCTGATATTGCCTGTTGATCTGGATCAAACTCAAAGGGTTCACATGAGGTTTCAAGTTCAGATTTTGGGTTGAAATCCAGCTGTAAATTACAGCAGCAGCCCGCTGAGCTCAGAGCAGATCAGACTTTTTGTATTCTTCTTCAAAGTCAGTGTCAAACCTTTTCTCCTTGACATGTCAAGACATTCATTTCAAAACACACTGCCAGTAACAACACAAGACCACATGCTGAAATATAAATAGTTTATATTTGAGAAAAATATCATGATAAATATTTCACATAAATATAGTTTCCATGTGTGATGTCACCTTGGGAGACCTTTGCATCCTATGGTAACCACCATAGTGTTACATGACATTTAGTTAATCAAAATTAATTTAAAAACAACAGCTTTTTGGTTGAAATCTTGGTTTCACAGATCCTGTAAATAAAACCCCTGAAGAAACATCACATAAAACAGTAACTAAAAGTGACCTAAATCCTTTTATGGACTCTGTTTTAACTGATATTGTTTCATGTTACATGAAATATGTATCTTGCATCTGGTAGACGTAACAGTCTTCTGCTCTTCATATCAGTGCTGCAGTGGTAAGGTGACAAGCACATCTGCCATGATGTGAACCTAGTGGAGGGATTATCACAACCATTCAGTGTGTGTGCTAATCTGTCCCATTACCCTTGAGAAGAAAATGCTACTGGGAGCCCAAATGTTAAACCGAATCCAGTGAGAAAGCCGTTCAGAGCCTCTGGTGAGAGAGACAATATAAAGATACCCATCTGGTGATAAGAGCATATAGAATACAGAAATAATGCAAACTCAGTACAACTGTGGTACGCAGGATACAGGAGATAAGACACATTCAGCTTTCAATATGGCTTCTTGCAATAATGTTAGATAAGTGGAATTGAAGGATGCACACATGGAGTGAAGGTCACAGAACAGTACAGCTGAAAGCTTGCAGTATTTCCCAAACACCAGAGAAGTCGATCGGCAGCATGAACACTTCCATAAATGCCTGCATCCATCAAATACACAATCCCAAGATATTCCAACATTTCCATTGGTTTCATATGTACACAACCATACACATACAAATTACATTCATTTATACACATATACAAACACAGAAGGGAGTGCTTCACCTTTTAGATTTTGTTGGTTGTTCCTTTGGCATGTGACCTTATACTGATAATGATACATGATAACAGTTAGCGATTGAAACGAAATCTTTGAATGAAGCAATAAACCCACACCGTCTACAGTACATTTCAGGAAATACACTTATTCACTTTCTTGCTAAAAGTTAGACAAGAAGATCAAAACTTCTCTCATGTCTTTGTGGTAAACATGAAGCTACAGCCAGCAGCCGGTTAGCTTAGCTTAAAGACTGGAAACAGGTGGAAACAGCTAGCATTGGCTCTGTCCAGCAGTAACAAAACCAACCAATCAGCATCTCCAGAAATGACAATTAGCCATTCTAGGAAGGGGGTTATGTGCCGTACTATATCTTGGCTGGTACCAGTAACTTCCTGGAGGTTGATTTGGTTACCTTTGGATAAAGCCAGACAGACTGTTTCCCCATTTACAGACCTTATGTTAAGCTAACTGGCTGCTAGCGGCTGTAGCTTCATATTTATTGTAGAGACATGAAAGTGGTATCAATCTTTCTAATGTCTAACTTTCTGCAAGAAGGCCAGTTCTCAAAATGTCAGACTATTGCTTCAATACAATGACTGATAATCAAAACCCAAAAAAGCTGATGTAATATCAAAGCAGAGATAACGTGACATCATACTCAGCCACTTTTATGTTTTAAAGGATCTAAAGACCTACCAGATTATAAAAACATCCAATGCCTAAAATTTCCAAAATTCTCTGTCATATTTTCTACATCCTGGACCTGAGGATAATACTGAAATACACTGAGATGCAGTTTTGCAACCTCTACAAATGCTATCCTATGGCTGAATCATGCTGCTGCAGGAGGAGGCTGTCCATAAGATGCAACCCATAACTGCTGCAGTGTGTAATTTAACAGGATGTTTACTGAAGGGAAACTAAAAAACAGACAGGAAAGATTAACAGACAGGCACAAACTGGATGCTAAGTTAAAAAGGGGGCCGCAAGACTCAATAAGAAGGTACAGTAGCTTTACTACTTCATTAAATCATCTCTAGAGGTAAGTAAAAAGAAACCTGTGCTGACTACTGATCAGCTGCTGGTGCTGATTTGTTTCAGCCTGCAGTGCTTTTGAGAGAGGAAACTACAGAGAAACAGGTGAAATAAGCACGGCTCGCCTTGAGAGGCTGTGTTTTTAAATTAGAGTTTCGATTATAAGCAGAACTTCTAAATAAAATATCCGTGAACACTTTTGCAGTTTGGAAGGCTGGAATGGCTGAATAAGGTTTTAATGTTTCTGTAATGGCATGCATTACATAACCTGTCCTCTGTTTAATGGGGCATTTCTGGGTGAATGAAGATGCCTCAAAGATTGCCCCTCTGGGATCTACTAAAAGTTGGGGTCAGAAAAGGGGGAGAGAATTTTTTTTTCTTTGGGCTGTGGACAGGGGGCTTATCCTAGAGGCAAAATTAGTGCTTGACCCTGCATTCATGTTCTAGTTTAACCTTCCCTTAATGTAGTTAATAATTACATAAATAGCTCAGTTACCACTTACACAACTCAGGCACTATATAGGTTATACAATGGTCAGTAACAAATATAACATAATTTTGAACACAAATTATAAAATTATCTGATCTAATTGATTTTTATTTTTAAAATTTCCCTCCCTCAGTACCTTCAGAGCCTCCTCTGTCAGTCCTGTTTCCTACAAATGATGTTTATATACCATGGATTTTAAATGGGAAACATATTTTTGAGGGAAACGCATTATGACATATATGACAAACACAATATCTGCATTGGTAGCTATTTGGATTACACAATTAATTAAGCTGTACTAATTTAATATTGTTCTATATTACTTTGAGATATTTTTATTTAAAGGGAGGGCCCAAAGAAAACATTAATAATGCCAGGAAGAGTTTTGCTCCTGTGAGAAATGAAACATAAGATTGTGTCCGCCTCCCTACACCAGCAATTTGTTTCCCACTACCTACAGGTAATTCCTTTCAGCATGAAGCCAATTCTCAGTTTGCTACTTCTTATTTTCAAATCAAGTATTTATTTCGTAGGTGTCAAGAAACAGCAGGGGCTGATGGGTGTTAACACTAAATGTGTTCAATAAAAGATCAGGGTAAAATATACTCTAATATTCCTGCTGATCATGTTGATTAAACTGTTACTTATCCACAATGCTTATGACTTATACTTTCACTGTTACTGTCTCAAAGAACAAGAGTAACAGGACTCATCAGACGGGATACTAAAAACAACTAATGACGATGAAATGTGAACAAATGACAATGCCCATATTCAGTAATACTGTTATATTGTGTTACCTAGTTTGATCTTAAGTCTGACTTGTTCTTTGGTGTCTACAAAAGATTTTGTGACAGAAAAACAGTGAAATCACTGCAGCATGGCCACATTTTTTAAATTGTTTTTCTATACTTCATGGAAGACCTGCATTGCTTGTCAATTAACCACACATCAGAGTCACATCACAAAGATTGATGTCCTATGTAGCTACCATTACTTGATGTATGTTCTCTGGCCTTGGCTTGGCGCTGGATGCCAACGGCAAAAATCAATCTCAGCTGCACAGACACATCAGCAAGCATACCACACCCAAACACACACAGAAAAACACTCACAAGAACAGTCCAGTGAGGTGTAGAGTGTGAAATAAGAGACTCATCAGTCAGGCAGCAGATTTCAGTGCAGGGCTACCAGTGTCGGACTGGTTGCTTCAGCTGCCAGTACAGCAGCATAGATCTGCTGTTAGTAAGCTGCCAGCGTGAGTAATGTTTCCCTCTTACAGTTTCCATGCCCACTACACTTCAGGGTCCAGGTTATGTTTAACAGAGAACAAATACATAGTATAAATGTTAAAAATGCACTAGAATACTGCCTTATCTTCATAAAAATTTAAAGGCAAAGGTGTTTGTTTATGAGTGTGTGACTGAAAATACTAAGCAGTTTGATCAAGGCTAAAACGGTTCACTTAATTGCACTTGAAGGTAAATTGTTTGGGTCTGCATGATACCCATATTAAAGAATACTTTGAATCAAGGCTGAAGACTAAAAATCTATTGTGACTTTGGTTTTCTCTGTCCTTGATGCTAAATGTCCCCCATCAACTTTGCAGCTGATATTAAAAAGCTTAAAAATATCAAACTTGTTGAAATTTACACATGAATCCTGTTTTTTTACATTTCACAAACCAACATCCATGTTCAACCTAGCTTGACCCGGGTGTCTTGGCCGTCGAAGAGGACCTGCAGTAGGATGGCCACATCTATAAGGATCTGGACTGAACCGCAAACCCAGAACTGAGCCGGGCTTTCGTTCATCACAAAATAGGTGGTCTTGAAGACATCGCCGGCTGTCCACAGCAGCACCATCTTCACACTGGAGCAATGGAGACACAGAGAGACATGGTGAGGATGCGAGGACAGAGAGAATAAAGGAGTTTTCGACATTTAGAGAACACACTTGGAATATAGAGTGGAAATGGGGAAACAGCTAGTCCAGCTCTGTGCAGAGATAACAATCTACTCTTACTGGCACTTCTAAAGCTCAGAAAGTAACACTTAATATCTTGTTTGTCTAATCTGTAAAAACAATAAAACCCAAAATGTAGAAATTAGTGCCAGACAGAAACAGTACGGCACAAAGCCCCCCATAAAATCATATGTTGTTTTTACACTTTGGTGTTAGTGCGGATTAAACAAAGAAGATTTAACTTGTTATTGAGCTTTAAATGTGCTGGCAGGCAGAGTTTATTACCACTCAACAAAGCAAGCCTAGCAGTTTCCCCCAGTCTTTATGCTATGCTAAGCCAACAGTCCATTCCTTTAAAGTCTATTCCTATATTATTGTTCCCTTTTACAATTTGGGGCAATTTTGCTGCTAATTACATCCACCAAACTGTAGTTTTGTCCCTTTGTGCATTAATCTGGAAACATTAACTGATTTTGGAAGTAGCTTAATTTAGTTGCAGCTATATATGAAACAGCAGGGAGGCAGTAAAAACGATCAATGAACAGGATGAAGTTTGGCCTAAACCACCAATTGATCACACCAAGATGAAGCAAGTGAAGGAGAGGGAAAGACACACAAAGATTGCCTTCCTGAGAGACAGAGAGGCTGAGAGAAAGACCTTGAAGAAGTCACTTGTCATCTGCCATGCCAGCGGCCTGTTGCCAATATAATACCCTAAAGGAGTCTCTGAAGCTTTATCACTGCTTCTTGCACTCCTCTACTTGTCAGTTTTTTACTCCTGTGCTACTATCCATCACTCGCGCTGTCCCCCACCACCCCCCTGCTATACTTTTTGTTGCCGTTTCGACTCATTTACTGTCATGTTTTTTTAACTCTTACCCTTCACAGTCTCTGCCCTCACTCCCACTCCACCTACTCTCTGCTCCCTCCTCTATTCTTGCTCTCTGGATGGTTAAGTCCCACAGGAATGAATGTAATATGAGTTTATACTTTTTTATTAGGGCTGACTGGGCCCGGGACCCAGCAGGGCCATCAGTCATCAAAAAGACATACTGTAGGGTCAGAAAGGGGTGAGGGAGAAAGAAAAGGAGAGGGACGGAGACAGAGAGCCTGCAGAGGACAGCATTTATCTAGCATGCAGTAAGAGAGACAGGGCAAAGACAACAAAACCACCAGAGAGAAAGAGAGGGACCTCTGAGAATGGAGAGGGGACCTCTGTGAGATAGATATGGATGATGAGCGTGTATGGGGGAAGAGGCAGCCTAATGACTGTGGGGATAGCTGTCCTGCACTATCCTTGAGCTCTCCTTGCAGAGTCATGTCAAACTCCCAACTCTCCCGCGGGCTCCCTTCAGGCCCCCCTGAGGAACCAAAACTTTTGCGGCAAACAATCCTGCCCTGGCATGGAAACGAGGACATCATTATTCAACATATCTGGGAATGTATTAAATCTAGACACTGCATGTCGTAGTGGAATGTGATTAACAACCCAGAGTGGCGCAGGCTGCAAATATGAGCTGTGCTGTAGAGCTACAGGATGTGTAATGATGGAACTTGAACATGCAGCTTAGGGCTGCGCGGTACATGCGGTAGACGGTAGAAATGATATAAATTTGGCCCACGGTAGAGATTTTTTTCTCAGTTAGGGCTGGGCGGTATTCGCGGTGACGGTAACTTAACGCAGTAAACATGAGCCGCTGCTTTTGTGATTAACGTTACCTTCATACCGCAGTACTCCGGCTACGGCGGCAGAACGGGGCCCGGCCCCTCACACACCTCCCTCGCTATGTGATGGAGGTGGCCTGGCCGACCACCAAACCCAGGCCCGCAGGAGAAGAGGGCCCGGGAGCCACCGGCCCTCCCTCTTCCCTGTAACGTTTATACATACTATATAATGTTTTATACACAATAATAGATGACTTCACTTTTTCTTAACCAACAATGAAGTAAAAAACACTCAGATTTATTTCACTGCCATGTCCTAAAAAAGAGAGATGATAGTAGATTGGCTCCACACTATAGACCAGACTGACATAGTGTCATCGCCAACGCTGTGTCCCCCTTTTGGGAGAAAGAAACGGGCTGTCGGATAGAAAAGCTGTTGTGTAGGAGGTAAGCAAGGCGTTAACACTGAGATTTAATGCACATAATACACACAAATATTCAACGTTAGTGTGGTAAATCGCTAAATGATGCTGGCAACAGTTACTACTGATGGATAGCTAACCTTAGCTTGAGTGGGAGGCAGCTGCAGTGATGTTACAGTTGTACAGTATAGCAGCACAACTGTCGTCTCCAACTAAATCTCAGTCAAGATCAAACAGGTTGTGTATTTACAGACAACACTTTGCCTAATGATACCTGGTGATTCGCTCAAGTATAGATGTCTGGATATGCAATATCTGGCCACTGTGTCAACCATAATTTATTGAGGTATTGTGAACACACAGGTTCAGGAAAGGTCGCAAAACAATTGTTAGACATAACTGTAAAAACAAATACTTCTTAATCCCTTTATCCCGTCATCCCTTCATCCGTTTTTCCTTTCTTCCAGATCCTTAATCCATCATACGCAATAAACTATTCTAAATTTCATCTTTGTTGGTGAATCTACTTTTGAAAAATGAAAAATGTGCACAATGGCTGTCATCATCCGTCATCATCAGTATCATTATAGTTTGTATTTTGTTGAATTGATAAGCAAGAAAATGCACACTTTATCAGCACAAACACACACAGAGGTTCTCCTCTACACTTTATTTGGTCGAGCATGATTAGTAGCTTATGGAGGCTAATGCTAGCTAGTTTGGGACCTTATAACGCTGTATGAAATACATGACCAAGTTGGTTTGACCACCTTTGTGACTCTCCTCTACTTGGGCTGCTGTTGCACGTTATTATTCAACTTTATCCTGTAATTGTCCCTTGTGCCAGCAGTGGCCTTTACACAGCAATAGTTACATACTCTTGCTTTAAATTGATTTATTTCAATCCAAAGCTTGAACAGACCTACCCTGAACGTGAGGTTAAAAAAAAGCCAACAACACAAAGCCAATCTGCTTCTGTCAACACACAGCTCCTGCACCCTCTCTCTTTGGTCCTCCCACCTCCAATTTAACCACCTTAGGCTTTAGTAAGAATCAGGCTATTTCCACCTCTCCCAGAGGCTGACCAAAGAGCGCTTGTTTGGAGCACATCTGAGTCTCGCTGATGTGTTCTGCTCCCCTAACAATTTAAACCTTCAGGGTAAACACTCCAGGGTTTGATTGAACTGCTCCAAAAATAAGTGTGCTAAAGAATTTAAAATCGTCATGCTTTTACTTCTCTCTCTCTCTCTCTCTAAGTTGCCAGTATCTCTCAGGGGAAAGACTTGCTTTTTGTTCCAGTGAAGTTTTTTGTTTTTTCAAAGAGTACCCTTCACTGAACTTCAGATTTCTTGTTTCATCTCCCTCCTTATATTTTCCTTTCACTGTGCCACTTTCTTCTTTTCTCCTTTTTCCCCGCTCAACTGTCATTTTTACTTTTATTGCCTTGACTGTCATTGCTTTTACTCTGCTCCTCTCTTCTCTATAAAAGGGAATGAAGTTGATTTTCATCAGCTTCTACTGCAAACCATGATAAAGTCAAATAACAAAGTTGCATTTTTCACCACAATAAGGGAGCAGGTTAGAACAAATCCTGTGCAAAAACAACTCCTGAAGAGGTAATATAACATTGAAAACAACAGAATAAAAATAATACTGTCATTTATTTTATAGAAAATTCAAGCAACTGTTTGAACAGGGGGCTGGAGCCTATCCCAGCTGACACTGGGCGAGAGGTGGGGTGCATTCTGGACAGGTCGCTAGACTATCACATAGAAACAGACAACCATTCACGCTCACATTCACACCTACGGCCAATTTAGAGCCACCAGTTAACCTGCATGTCTTTGGACTGTGGGAGGAAGCCAGAGAACCCAAAGACAACCCATGCTGACATGGGGAGAACATGCAAACTCTGCACAGAATGGCTTCCCCACCCCTTGCTGTGAAGCGACAATGCTAACCACTGTTCCACCATGCCACCCACTGTAATGTTCAATCTGTAAATATCTATTGAAATTCAAAATTTACACTGTATAAGCTCAGCAAGGCATTGCTTGTACTCCAATGGGGAGCATTTGTAAAATGCACCGTCTGTCTTACCCATATCAGTGTTTCTGTCTTTGCTCATGCAAAACAGAGAAAATAAGCAATAAATGGTTGAGCCTGACACAAAACCAACCAGGTGATAATGTAAGAAAGCATCTTGCATCTTATTGATAATGGTAAGGATAATAAATGTTTGCTAACTCTGTAAAATGTGATACCCCAGTAAGGTAAGCTTGTAATTCCAATAAGGCAGTGCAGCAGAAGTTCAATTAGCTGAACTTTAAGTTAAAAATCAGTGCAGAGCTTTATGGCTCTGTTTTATGGCTGCACAAGAGAGCACAGCCACTTTCCCCATTGGAAATAATGGCTTTTCTCTGCGTGATGTCAAATTTGTGCTTTTAGTGTGAAAGCCCTGTTCAAGCTTGAGTTGTTGAAAGAATGCCAGTCCTGATACTGGTTGGCTGATTTTTGACTTTTTTTTAACAGAACTAATCTTGTAAGAGGCGTTCAGTAGTAGAAGTATCCGACAGTGTGCACAAGCACACAAAGCTTGTTAGAGCTGGAAATCTGTGAGTGATTGTGAAGAAGAGGGAGAATTTTTGTTTTTCGACAATAAAAACACAATTTTAAATTCAAACTTCACCTATTTTCATAACCACATGCCTCATGTGCAACATTCTCTTAAATTTGTCTCATATTTCCTCTTAATTTTGGATTGATAGAAAAAAATATGACAAGTCAACTCCAGATGCATCAAACGCTCTTAACCAAGGG